GACCTTGCTTGTGCGCTAGTGCACCTTCACAATAACGGTTGCATTGTTTCAAGAAAGACCATGTAAAATGCTGACGGGGTGGTGACGCCACATCAGCGCCTTTATCAAGGTAATGATTTATAAATTAAACACCCGATATCGTGAAAGCATTAAGATCTGTATGACATTTGAGTAACAGTGTCATTTGAGCCATTGCTACTTCTGCGTTAGCTGATGAGCCGAAGACATTACAGCTCAAACGAAACGACCTTGTTTAATTAATAACGCGATGTTTGCCTTCTCCTTAACTATAGAAATGACCTTAATCGGCCTGAAGAATTATGCCAAGCACAAAACATAGAAAGCCATGTCAGAAAGCCTGTTCTGCCATTCGTAACATCTGCGTAGTTATTCCGCAATTCTGTTGTCCAGTAAAAACAGCAGTAGGTTGCGGATGGTAGATATCACGGAAAAGTGCATTAAAAGTGTGAAAAAATGTATTTCTTAAGTGAAGCTTTCAGTTTCACGGCGGGATTCGTTCATTCGTGCTAAACAAGGAACTCCGTTGTAAGTTCCGAGAATCTCACTTATAGAAATGTATTTTTCTCGGCTGCTAACCCTCTTTTCTTTAATTCTTTTAACCATTTTTCGTATGGTTTTTTAATGTAGATCTTCTTTTATATCACGTTCACCTTTTTCATTCTACCTGATTGGTAAAGTTTCCGGCATTATCGATCGAAATGAACCGTTCGTTCTGTAGTAAATGCGAAAACCTTTCATTCTCAATGATATACATAAAATTTTAAACCCCAGTCTTATGGGTTTACTAGCAAAACCGCTAGTTTTCGTTTCCGCCGGTTAAAAAATGATAATTTATGTTACTTCCGGATTTAAGCGGTGTACGTGTAGTGATGCGGTTTTGCGTCCATAAACTGCAGGTGCTAAAATACGGTGCAGCTGCGTTCTCCTTAAATAATTTCCTAGGCCATGACAAACAAGGAGATAGGGCGCCTGCACCGTGTAAATTCGGAAGTAACTGAAAAATGTCATTGTTTGTTGTTTTTAGAAAGAGTTCGGGAACAGCTGCAGTAAGATTGATTTATTTCTGGCTTATTTTACCATTAAGAACTGTGTTGATGATGTCTTTTTAAAAACCCTAAAAGATTTGTCGTTTTATTTGTAATTTTTTAAAAATTAAGTTTCGGGGCCAAAACTTGGTCTAAGTATCGGTTGGAAGGTTCAGGTTTTTTGATAACTGCAAAGACAGTGGTTTTTCTCTGTTGTATCTCTGTTATTTTAAGCCATTACTCAAAAAGGGAATTGTATTACATTGATTAGAGATTCCATGGGAATCCAAAATTTCTTCTAACTAATGCGTCTTTCGTATTTCATATTTGCATGTTATTTAATAGGCAGTTCGATTCTGTTCATAAACTTCAAATCAATAATGTTTTATTGTAATACGTACATTGTTGCATGTAGAAGTTACACATACGGTTCTATTACGTTGAAAAAGTTTTCGAACATTGTGGGTCCCCTGTAAAGTGGTTGCCAGCATGTTTCTGCTAAATAGACGCTACTCGCTGATTGCCTCATTCTTCCTCGATCTCTATTGGAACATATCTCCGCCATGTCTTGATCAACTCTGTGACTAACTAAAGCTGTTTGTTTAAACCTAGAGGTTTAAGTGGTGACAGAACATCACCAACTGTGATAAAGCCACATTGTACAGTTTGCTATGGCCATGCTTTTTTATCTGTCCGTTCTCGTGTTTCACTGTATCGTGAAGAAGAGAACCCGATAAGGCGAGGGATTAGATTATCCTTACTCACCTGGGCATCGGTATTTTGATGTTGTAACAGCGAACGAACGGTGTCTCCATTTTGAATAGTGTCATTTTGTACGGTGTAACCGCCATGGATCACTGATTCTCACACTCTCTCTACTTGCACTTTCTTCTCGGAATTACTCTATATACGCTTTCCCTTTGTGGTGACCAGAATAGATAGTATGGCATTCGTATTTGCCGCGTTCTCTTTTTCTCATTTCGATCTGTTTTTAAGCTAATCCGTACTAATCCGCTGTCCGTTTTGTTAATCGACGATGAGCACTAAAGAATGGCTTCGACTTGAGCAGGAAGCGCTGCATTTTTGCGTTTAATTCCGACTGTTACAACGTTGCGAAGCACTTAAGCCAACTCAGGCCTTGTGTTCATCTGAAAAACCGGGTGATTTATGAGACGAGCAGGTTGCTCTCGGTGTTGGAGCTGAATCACTCAAGCGGACATCGGAATGTATGTGTGCCCTTCGCAGATGTCGGTTGATTTTTTTGCGGTCGTGCGCCAGTCGACGAAGATGCCAATATCTTCTGCCTGTGGAGCGTAAAATCAATCACCTTACGATGCCAGACTTTAAAGTCTAGTCGATGAAGAAAACGGCACAACTCAAGGCACTGGAGCATCGATATTCAAGTTGGAGTTTCGCTTTATTTTATCCCCCCGTTCGCTTTGCTTTGTGTGGCACTGGATTTGCGCATTTTTCTGTCGATTTATGATATTTGATTTGCATATTTTCACTACATGCCATGTAATTTTTTCCCTTGTTTTTTTAATTTGCGACCATTATTTTCGCTACAGTGAAGAGTCAGCCTTTGTCTCAACGTTCGCTTCCTAAGCAATAAATGCGGATCAATTTATCAGTACATAGCAAATCGAAGATTGTAAGCTAATTCACACCTCTCAGCCTCCAAAACGTGTTGACGTATATTAAGATCATCTCCAAGAGCCGTTTGCTTAAGCTTAAAGTCTCTAGTTTCTGTAGTTCGCTCGTTCCTTCTTACCGTTTCAACTGTTTTTTTGTAAAGCACCGACTGCGTTTTAAAAGGAACATTTCCTATCGGAGCGTATATCTGCTTGTAGCTTGATGATTATTATGCACACAGTCATTAAGATTTAATAACGATAATTGTTTGTTCATCGTTTACTTTAGCTCTGATGTTTATATTGTGACTGCTATAAACTGCTGTAAACAATACAAACGTTTGATTTAATATTTTAATAGTGATTGAAATGGTTGAATAGGTAATAGCTATCAAAAGAGTAGTACTATTCCGATTTTTTATGATTGTGTAGTATTCTAACTTATGTTCGGAAAACGTATAAAGTGCCAGACTGTTTTGCTGTTATCGACTACATGATGACGTTCGACTCGATAGAATTGACAGCTGTGCTAAACGCCTTGCATTAGTATTTCATAGACCGTGTTTACATCGACCTGATCAAGGAACTGAGTCCCAGTTGCACATCTGACTTTAAGCCATTCAGCGAACTATGTCGAGTCAGTTTCCATCGGAGAATGTGTCACGGAGAGACCATCGCACTAGCGCTTTTCTTCGCGGCCTTGGAGTCACTCTGCAGCCCGCTAAATTGGTGGAAAGGCATCAAAGCTGATGAATCGGGCGCACCTGTTATTTGTGAATGACTACATAACCTTTGCACAAATTACGATAGAGCTCCAACAGAAGATCCAGCGTGTGCAAGAAGAACTTTTCACCGTCGGTTTGGAGATTAACCTCTCTAAGGCGAAATGAATTTGAAGCAAGCACCACTCCGAGGGCACTCTGTCCGTAAATGGCGAAGAACTCAAAGAAGTCACCATCTATCCCTACTTTGGCAATCGGGTAGATCGCATGGATTTCCCGCTAGACTAGAAAATTAGCCGAAAAAGGAAGGCGACATGGGTACTACAGCTTTACTCGTATTAAACGATATTTACTCGACAGTTAGCTGTCTATGAGGAAGAAGAAAGAACTGGTCGATTCAACCATTCTTACGGCCTTGTTTTGCGTCGCTGAATGTTGATCTCTTATTAAAACTGAAGACAGCGAACTGATAGTCCCTCAGAGCTCGAAGCTCGAATAGAGCGAAAAACATGCAACGTGCAAGTTTCAAGCACACAAATTCAACAACCGACTGGATTCACAGACTTAGCTTTTGTCTTCTACAATGCGAAGGAAAGATGAACCTCTGATGAGGTTTTCCTGAGGGAGAACCGGTGAATGTCAAGGATTAAAAAAGGGTTCTGCTGGACCACAGATGAAGAATCGGTCGTCCAAGAACACGTTAGGATGATCTGATGCTGAAATTGCTTTTTCAGTAGTGAGGTAGAAAGGGAAAAGTAGTAGTAAATGTTGGACTAACATCGACTTGCTTTCGTGGGAGCATAAGTCAAATAACGTTTTATAAAAAATATTAGGTGGTTTTTTGCGGGAGTCGGCGGCAGGTGAAGGTTTTTTAGTAGAAGTGGGTTCCTCCTCAGTCGGTAGATCATCGCACTCAGAACATGTAGGTGTCGAGTTTCATCCCCGGTCGGGTCGCTCGCTTGCCATCCGACGATGATAAGTGACTATCACTCTGTGAAAGTGAACAGAGTACTACACATCGAGTTTACCGAGTAGTTGCTGTCGTCTCTGTCTTTAAAAATGTGTCATGATGATCAGTTGTTGGTATGCAAATGGAGATCAGAGCTCGCGATTACCTCATGAAAGGAAGGGCGCCAAAAATGGCCCTCTCATGAAAATGTGAAGAAATTCGACATTGCAGCAGTTTCAGATCTTCTTTCCTTACGCTGTAAAATCACGATCGCGCCAGTAACTTGTAATGAGATCTTGAATTTTTGTGCCTTTTAGTAAGGATACATACTGTTTTGTTAACCTGGTATATGTTGTCCTTTCTTTCCTTCCTGTAGTTGTAATTGCATCTCTTGTTTTCATGTTTTATGTCTTCCGTTGACTCACTCCGTTTTGATATAGCTATGTTGATGCGGTTGTTGTTGAATGAAGACCTTGGTAGCAAAATGCTCGACTCGCTGACGGTTCTCCGAATGTGTGTTGGCTTTCATTGCTAGCAAATCCGATCCTGTCGTGTCTTGTCGTGTCGTCTCGTTTATCAGTCAACGCGTGGTGGTCGTCGTCGTATTCGATATGCTGAACGATGTGCGGCGGCAGATGAGTAATCGTGAACAATGCCCGATGCCGCCACGTCTGACCTAGAAGCGTCGCTGATGGTCTGCAGCCTGAATCGCACCCGGCGACATGTCAGGCCGGGTGCCACTGCCGCCGGCAATACGAACGCGTCTGATCCTCCACGAAACTTGTGGCATCGTACCCGTACTGCCAACACTTCGTGCCACTCACGTTACAACAGTACTGTATCGACGAGGGCCAAACGGGTGCGCTTCTTTCGCAACGGAGATCAGTACTTCCAAGGCGTTCTGTACGCTTTGTCCCGAGATCGTTGTCGAACGTTCGAGGGTCTTCTCGAGGACCTGAACCGGACGCTCGGTGATTTGGTCACCTTGCCACACGGCGTGCGCTTCATCTTCTCTCTTGGTGTCGGCGGCTCCCGCATATCCGACCTCGATCAGTTCGTCGATGGCCACAGCTACGTGTGCTCCAGCACCGAGGTCCTGAAGCGCATCGACTACGAGAGCGCCCGTCAGCCCGTGTGG